GCCCTCCCTGGTCTCGGTGACGGCGGAAGCCGGGGTGCTTGAGCAGGACGCACCCACCACGTGGTGCCTCCGACGGCGCCGGCCCGAGCACTTGGACCTGGGGTTGTGCAGCGCAGCAAACTCCTTGGCTCCTTCCTGCAACCAGAGCAGAAGACAAGGCAGGTGGCAGACGACGAGGGAACACAGAGGGGCTTTTCTGCAGGCCCTGGGATGAGCCCTGCACCAAGAGAGGGCGGGAGACTCCAGCGTGCGGCCCCTTCGGCGATCGCCGAGGCCCTGCCCACGCTGCACCTTCCCGCTTTGCCTCCTTCGGCACCGCTGCCCGCTCGAAGAGGGTCCCCAGCCCTGGCCCCCCAGGCCGCTCCCCTGCCTCTTCCCCCGGCAGCCAAGTCCTGACCTCGCGCCCTGCTCCGGCCCCGCAGCTCCCCGGGACCCCCCGTACCCCACCAGCTCCGACACCACCAGCGCACCCACCTCCCGGCAGCCGGCCCTCCCGACCCGCGGCCCTCGCCCCCTAACACAGCCAGGCTGCGTTTCCAGAAGATCACTGTGAAATGGTTCAAGCCTTCCCCAGCATTTTTAACCCGGGCTTCATTTTTCAAACGCTGCACCGAGTCCAGAGAAATCATTTGTCACAATTCCCCATCTGCTAGCTATGACATTAGTCCTCGTTAGAGATTTGCTAAAATATGCGTCTGGTCAGGTCTGCGTTTGGGTGCACACTCCCCTGAATCCAATGAGGACTAGAACTCATTCTGAAAAATCATCAGAGTTGTGAAAAGGACCCCCAGAGTCCTGCAGAGCAGGGCTGCCCAGGCCACTTCTCTTGTGGTTTCAAAAGCAGCAACGCAGAAACGTACCAGCCAGAGGAAACAGTCTGCTCCACAAGGATCTGGCTCGATCTTGGTCTCTCTATTCTTTCGTTTGTACACATTAGGAGTAGCATGAAAAGCTGAAAAAATAATAGTTGTCTTTACTATTAGCATCCTCCCAAAGCCTCCCCGCACGCTGCAAGGGACGGGGCAGCACGAGCTCAGCGAAGGGGAGGGGAGGGGGAGCCGGACGCCCTCAGCGGGGGCCGAGCAGCTCTCGGCAGCGGGACGGGGCGGGGCGCAGGACCCCCGCCAGCCCCGCCCCAACCCACGGCGGGGACCCGCAGCACGGGGGGAACACTGGGCAGGAGAGGCCGTAGGAAAAGATCTGCTTTCAGACTGAAACAAAAAGACCACATGATCTTAATATTATATCTTTTAATAAATAATTCACTGGAAGGAGTCCTGTGGCTTTCCAAAGAAGCCCTCGGACCTGGGGAACAGCAGGTCCAGCAGCTACCCAGCATCCAAACGGCTCTGGCAGCACAAACCGCGGGAACATGACTAAGATGAAGCTGTAAGTTCCAGTGAGGCAACACAACACAGGGGCATGTCCAGACTTTGAGAGTGAAACATTCATGCCTTTCCCTGATGAGCTTCTGCAAAGCAAGAGTAAAGTCTAGTCGCGGCAGCGTTTCTGGCACCAGCTGCCAGGAGGCTCGAACGCGGCGTGCTGGACAATGGTGAGAGCGAGGGGACGGCCCCGCAGGTCGGTTTACCATCCGTGTGAGGAAACGAGTGGAGCTTCTGGGCACCTGTCAGCTCCTAAGGCTCCACCGCAAGCTCCGGGGAGGCACCACCCTCTACAGACTGCGGCACAGACACTAAGCAAGGCGCACAGAGGTACGAAGCACCGAGGAAAAATGAGGAGAAAAGGGCTCTAGGGAAGCGTCCGGCCGAGACTGCACTTACGATGCAGGAAACAGTCGTATTTGAAGCAGCGGCGGCAGAAGAGGGTGTGGAAGGAGTGCAGGGACTGCTCCCGCTGGACCGACTTGGCGCACGGCCCGTCGATGTTGGGGGTGCACTGCGGCGGCAGCACGTTGGGGTCCGACACTTCCGTCAGCTCCCGGTACCTGTTCGACAAAAGAAACGCCCCGGGCAGCGCACACTCTCCTCCTGCGGGACATTTCACGCCACCACGTCTCCATCTGGGCCAGCAGGACTCGGGCCCAGACACCCCGAGGCCAAACCGGAGTCTCCAGCGCTCAGGAGCCGCCTGCCCCCGGCGCCGGCAGCCCCCCAGGCTTTGCTGCCCCCTCAGAGCACAGCGCTGAGACGCAGCCTTAGACTGCTGCCAGGAAAGTAACAGACAACGTAAGTAGAGATCTTCTACCTCTCTTTCATATCGTCTGGGAAGCCGTATTCAGGAAACATAGAAGAAATAGCAGTGAATATCATGTCATTTGGAAACCGCTTCTTCGAACACTTCTTGTTACCTGAGAGAAGGAAGAGACAATCCCTCGGTTAAGCTGGATGCGAGCGTGTCTGTCCCTCACGGAGAGCGACTCCAGCAGGTGCTCAGGGTTGTATTTTAAGAGACAGAAATGTAATCCTGTATAAAATGGATAAACCTTTTGTCCTGCAGCTAGGCTAAGGCATCTCCAGATGCAGCACTCTGCCGCCCTCAGAGTGGCGTAACGTGCTGGGGGAAGTACTGGCGATTCCCTCAGCACCATTACTGTTTATTTTTCCCAGGACAGGATTTGCAGACAATGCTTTTCTACACCCACGGAAGGTCCTGGTATTCGCGCTACCCGTATCTCCATAAACCAAAGACAAAAGCACCAGTCAGCATTCCTAAGGTCATGCAGGACTCATGAAAGTCCCATAAATCAGAGCTCCCTCTATGCCAGAAGAGCTCCAGGTGGCACAGGAGAGGGAAGAGGAAGACGAATACATGGAAAACGGGCTGGAAGGGATTTGTAAAGCTCCAGCTCCCCGGCCTACAGCGGGACCAGATCTACCTACAAACCACGGGCAGGTGCTGGCCAGCCCAGCTCTTCTAAATCTCCAAGAGCAGAGATCCTGCGGCGGTACCCCGCTGCTTTGCTAATCTTACCATGAAATGTTTTTCCAGATGACTCATCTAAATTCCTCCTCACCACACTTTAAGCTGGTGCTTTCTTGCCCTGTCCACAGGGGACAGTGAGAACAACCAATCTCCCTCCCGCTTTCGCCTGCGGTACAGGCCTGGCCCAGCTGGCCGCTGCCCCGAGCGACACGGTCACGGCCCAGCGCGAAGGCGGGATGGAAACGCGGCCACGAAAACCCCAATTTCTCTGGCCAAACCCACCTTCCACTGCAGTTCGCTTCCTTTTCCTTGTGACGGGCAGCTCCTCCTTCCCATCCTCCTGCTTAACCTCAGAATCATTGTGTCCTTCCTCCTCCTCGTCTGAGTACTGATTCAGGGCATTCACTAGCTCCAGGAACACAGCATCGCTGATGAGGACTGACCCTGAAATCATTTCTGAAACACAGAAGTGTCAGCCAGTCTGTGGGAGTGCCAGCACCCTTCACGCTCCTCACGGTGGGAAATCACCAGCCAGGCACTTGACATCCTTAGCAACCAGAACCCTTCTCTCAGCTTTGTGGGGATTTTAGTGCTGTACCATTTAGCCATCTGAGGCCAGGCCAGGCCAGAGAGTTTTCCACTGCCTTCCTCCCTCCAGGCAGCATTTTATGATGGGGTAGGCAGCACTGTAGGGAAACATACTGGCTTTTCATTTCTGAAATGACTGATTAAAGTCTAAGGTCACAAACGAAACGAGGCTGCTGAGCTCTTCCTAACCTCCGGCACATTTTTCAGCATCCCAGAGCACGCCCGTGAACCCCTGCGCGCAAAAGCATCGGCCCCAGAGCACCCCAGGCCTAGAACAGAGCAGGATTTCACCAGGCAGGGCTGTGTCCTTGTGAACTACAACAGCAGCATGGTCCTGGTTTTCTGGTCTAACAGCTCCCACAGAAAAGCTGGTTACTGCTGCCACCGCTTGACTTCTTAACGGCTTTGATATGTTATTTGCAAGAGACTGAGTGGACAGTGCTGACTGCTCCCAGGTTACCTTCTTCTCCATGGACCTTCCCGTCATAGTTATTAATAAGTTCTTCAATGAAAGTTTCATCTTCTTCCTTCACCTCGTCTCCCATGTAAGGGATATTGCACAGAACAGTTTCATCCTCCACCTGAAAAGAGATCCGACACAATTCCAGCGCCTGCTGACCCCCGGCCCGGCTGCGTCCGAGGCTGCTCCGCGCCGATCAGACCCGCAGTGCACAGGCGGGGCCCAGCCCCCGCTGCATTCACGTGCCTCATCGCCGACGTTTCCCGTTATCCCACGCCAGTGTAACGCCCCAAAGCGCAATTTGCTGTAAAGGAGGAGAGCGGTGCCCCCAAGGCTTACAGCAGCGCAGACACACAGGCACTGCGAGAACAAACCGCAAACAGCCGCCACAGAGACGGTGTTCGGGGCAGAGCGGAGCAGCGAGAGGCAAAGGGGTAACTCGCTCCCGGAGGAACAGCCAGAGCGGGGAGTGTTCTGGTGTAACCAGGCCGCAGGGACACCGGCCCCGCGCTGCCGTGGCACCGACCGGTGTCACACCACCCCCTGCAGGAACCCCCCCCCGGCAAAGAGCCAGGCTGGCCCCACACCACCCGTTTGTTTAACAAATGATCTGAACTACAGCGCACCAAAATCAGCCTTTAAATCACTGCCACCACAGAGGAGCTAACCCTCGGTAGCAGCCTCAGGACGAGACCAGCAGAGTGATCCGGTCACACGGGAAAGGACCTGCCTAAGAAATAAAACGCTTCATCTAGAAGGGAAGAAAAATCTCAAGAGAAAAACAAAAAAACCCCAAAAATATATTCAGTCCTTGAATCCTGTGAAATAACAGCGACTCTGTCAAGGAGTCAGGCGTAAGGGAGATTAGCTGGGTAAGTCAGCACGGATCCAGTGCTGGTTTATGGGATTCCACAAAACCAGCTAAACCAATACTTTCGGTCGCCTCTGGAGCCGACGTGGCTGGAAACAAGTGGCCTGAAGGCGTCATAATCACTGCACAACCACGCAACACTTACACACTAACCCCTCGGAGACCTTGCACCCCAGAGCCTTCCCACATACCATGAAATTCTGCTGGAGAGGGGACCAGGAGTACATGATGGGCACCAGTGCCACCGTGTTCAGGGTCCTCATGTACAGTGTCTGGCTCGGGAACCCGGGGAAAATGCTCTCGACAGTGCACTGGAACAGACACAGAGCGAAAGGAGAGGTGAGGAAACGGCCCGGGAGGCAGCCACAGCTGGAGGGCAATCCCACCTCGGGATGAACCGTGAAGCCCCACGCTCACTCTTTGGGGCTCCTTCACAGGAAAAGCCTTTCGTGGGTTTTTTTTTCCCATTTCTGCGCCCCAGAAGAGTGCAAGGCGCAGCCTGACTCTGACATAGGACAGCACACGCAAAAACCGATGCCGTGAACCTCCAGCTCCCTGCAAAGCCCTGGCTCCAGCCCAGACCTGCTGCCGCTGGGCCCTCTGCCCCCCCACACCTGTTTGAGGAACGGGTGCCCGCTGACCGGCTTCATCAGCTGCACCGGCTGGACCCGAAGCTTCTTCCAGTCCTCGTTCAGGATTTGGGTCTTTTCATGAACCTTTGCAAAGTTGGCCACAAACAGAGCCTGAAATGAGAGAACGCAGCCCTCAGAATTTAAGAAATCAAGCCGAGAACACCAAAACCCCTCCCGAGATTCTGTCTCAAGTATCAAAGCGTGTGCAAGGCAGAGCCTTTCACACCGATTTCACTCATCAGAAGGAATCCTAATTAAACTCGTCACCGGTACAGAACCGCGCTGAGACTCTACCCAACGGCCGGGAGGTTTTGGTAACTCCCGATCGCACCCAGGAGAGCGGCACCAGGGCAAGTCACGGAACCCCCCGGCACGAGGGTCCAAGCAGGGAGGCACTTGGACGAGAAGCGGCAACGGGTCCTCCTGCGGCGGCTGGAGGCCGCGGGGCCGGAGGCGAGGCGGGCGCGGGAGGGGCAGC